GCTGCTTTAAAGAAACATTTCTTTCTTAAAAACAGATGTGCTGCTTAATATTTTCGCTAAAGCAAAGAGGATTCTTTGATTAATAGGAATTCAAATAGAACTCTTTTAAAAGTTGTTAAAGTCCCTTTTAATTAATTGAATGCATCCTTTCTGAATAAAAGTTTCTTAGAAAAAAATATACAAACCTCAAAGTTTGACATATATATGATATACTGTATATATACAGATGATTTCTAAAATATTATAACTTTTTAATATTACAAAATTACATCTACATTTAGTTTCTATTTCTTACAATTACAATACTTTTTTTTCTAGACCCCAGTTTGACAAATCCAGACCAAAAGCACTGTGAAACTTGAATTAAAAAACAGAGTGGTCTTTACAAGCAGACCTGCCAGGTGACGAAAACATTTTTTGCTAACAAATTGCATACACATACAGTATATACATACACGTCATGATGTAAAGCAGCACAGTACAGCACAGTAAAGCTTTTAATTAACTTAAATCATGGAAAGAGAAATATTGCAGTAACCTTCCAATATGTTTTAATGGTCAGCACACACACCTTGCTATAGCTATACACCAGCTCAGATAATATTATTCCACAATACCTCTGGCAAATTAATAGTCTATCAGCTAAAAATAATTGAACTGAAATGGAAAAGTATACACATCTAGAGGGATTTTGCATTGAAACTGTGAACAGTTCTTCTGTTCTGCTGTCAGCCTCAAAGAATTTGGTGTCATGGTTGTCCATTTAAATTATTCTTTCACAGCATTTTTAAAATAAGCAATTCATAAGTGCTCTATGCTATTGTGTTGCCATGGAAATGCCAACAAGCCTCCACTCCTGGTTCTGCATGATTCTTTCAAAGTAAGTTATTCGTCATTTTTTTAAATCTAACTTTATAAGTTCATGCTGTTCAAGTGATCACAGAACAGTGAAAAGCATGTCAGAGAACTGAATCGTAACACATTTTGAGATGTAATGCTGAAGGTGTGTAAACACTAACAGCGTGAAAATGTGTGTCCCAATGGCAGCATTATATTAAAGAGGTTGCTGCTTTTATCCTCTATAAACTCTATTTTATAGCCACGCAGGTGAACTTGTTTTTTCATTAGTTGATTGAATTGTAACAAATGGTTGAACTGATGTTTTATTCATGAATACAAATAATTTCCCTCCGAGAGTTTCCTATTAGCCGGTTATTGCTCTAATTACCTTATATAAGGTGTTCTTATAATTATGTTGCTCCACATTTCCATATTTTGACAATTGTTATGATCAAGGTAAAATTTGGTTGAATCCTTGGCAATGTAAGTTCTGTTTTCAGGATCTTAAAAATATGTTGGGTGGAGAGAGGACTATTAGCCTTAACATATAAAATCCATAATTGGCTTTAGAAGAACAATACAGGCCTCTTATATGTGTTATTTTAATGATCACACTTCTGGCACATATTGTGCTATTAAGACCACCACATACCCCAAATATAGATTTGCTGCTTTCATTTAATGGGGTTATAAACTATGCCTCCATATGAATACGTTTGAAATCAAAGAGCATTTGGCATCAGTATTTAACTTCATTAAACAAGTGTTAAAGGTAGGGTAGGCAATTTCTAATTTCAAGAGGCTAGCAAGCTATAGCTTTAAAAGCATAAGATCCCTTCCCACCTTCAGAGGCGTAAATTCCGTTTTTATGACTGGATTCCGCGATTCCGGAATCATGGAAATTGTTAACATTTTCCCCCCTTTAAAAACAAAAAAAAATTGCCGATACCCTATAAAGCAAACTAGTGTTAGAGTAAACAGAAGGAACATCTGAAGCTAAGAATGAGATTTTTGTTTCAGACCACATGGCAGTTTGCAAGTTTGTAGGCATTGTTTGTTTAAAGGTGTGCTACAAATGACCTGTCAGTTGCTATGATGAATTATGCATATAAATGCCTAAAACACTACATTTTGCTGACCTATTCCTTACACAGTTATTCTTAGATTCTGCTGGAGTTAATGAAGTTTAGCATTTGGCAATTTATCTTAGTACAGTTTTCCAGCAAGGAATGTGACAGCACAATTCTGAGGTCCAACATATTTCTAATAGATCACCCTGACATCTTGAACTGAATTTCTTAGTAGGCTAATACAGTTTTATTGCATTACAGCTTGGTCATCCACTCTGATGTTCCCACGATGCAATGCAATAGCAGTCCCAACAATGAACATTGACAGCCAGGCAGAGAAATAAAAACAAAAGGTTGGAGGGGTATACTTAAAGGTGCTCTAAGCGATGTCACGCGTTTTTTAGGCCAAAACATTTTTTGTCACATACAGCAAACATCTCCTCACTATCCGCTGGCTGCCTGTCCCCTGAACACACTGTAAAGAAACGCGATCTCTGTAGACAGCCCAGGCTCCACAAACAGCAACAAAAACAAACTGGGCTAACCCGCTCCACGAAACATGACAAACTGTTCCAGCCAATCACCGACAAGAAGGACTTGGGGGCGGGGTTTGGGGGGTTAGTGCGCGGATGAGGAGGAGGGAGGGTCTAGCTAGCCTCCAACAAGAAGTGACGTCACCCCACATCGCTTAGAGAACCTTTAATATAGCTTCTAAAAATTACTAGGCTATATACTAATTGTTTCTTCTTCTACGTGTATAAATACGTCATGTTTACCATATATTTCAGTAACCACGAATATTTAATTGGTAAAGGACGGCGTGGTCACATTAGCTAAATTTCGAGGGCAAAATTAAAAGGTTACTCTTCTAGGAGTAGCTAACATTTTTCGCCCTCACGCAAATTACAGATCACGTGGATTCCTATTGAAATGACAGGATTTCGGAAATGACAATAAAACTATCGCAACCTCCGTTTCATGCCGACCTTAAGGATCATGTGTGGGAAAGTACATTAACAAATTAAACTTGTCTTATTAATCACTTACCTTTTTAAAGGCTATAACCCGGCCGTCTTGTGTCTGTTCAAAACGTCAAAGTAAAATTATGACAGAAATACTGAAAAGCCAGTAAGCCACTGAATAATTTTCACATCAATGCTGGTTTATTTTGTAGGCTAAGATCATCTTTTAACTAAACCACACAGAGAGAATCTCGATTGTAGTGAGGAAGTAATAAAAGTGCATCGCAGAATCTGCCTTTCACCCTTGAGTCATTCTCTTCTCACCATACACAGGAGAGCACTAACGTTTCAACATGGCCTTTTATTTCAACTCTAATGAGCTGCATGTGCCTCCCTGCTGTTTCACAATCGTGAGGGACCGACAAAAAGCACTTGCACAATTTAGAAAGGAAGAAATGTGGGAAAACATTCCCCTGGGTACAGCAGCCCTTGTAAATTACAGGCACAAATTCCTGCAAGTTGTAGTGAGGTTAACTTGTAAATTTCATGCAAGTACTCTTAATCCTTTATTTAATCTTAATCAAACCCAGAGTGACATGAAACAACGTTTAGAGCACCTTTGAATCACAGCAACACTATTGTTGTTCTCAGTAACTTTAGATATAGGCCTATGTTTAGATAATTCTGATCATGTTTGACTGCTGTTTTTGATCAACGTGTTTGGTTCAAAGTCAGATTCTGAACTAAGAGTGGACTAGAGTGGAAGTGCAACTAACAGATATTATCATATCAACATCAGTTTTGTGAATCTAACCTGCTATAGGCCTACAGAAAATGCCTAATTTGAGGGCTTCATTTCTACAGCTATTTATTTTTCTGGCTTTGATTGTCAGTCAATCACAAAGACTATTTGTTCATACATTTTTTTTTTTTTATAAAACAAAGTTAAACAAGTGCTTAGTCAAACAATGACTCCATGGCTTTGTCAGTTATTGTTTTTTTTATTATGTTTTTCTGTAATTAATTTTATTTATTTTCTACATTCCACAGTAGTATTATTGTGGACAAAAATGTTCACATACAAGATAATATAGCGTAAAACCGACAAAATAAGAGAATATCAATAAGTTAATGAAATGCAAAGAAAGTAAGGATAAAAACATCCTGAGGAAAGGTCATATAGTGGAATCTGATAATTTAATTCATACACAAAAACTTAACAAAAAAAGACAAAAATATTAAATTGTCCACAAAGTGACATTGTAATTTTTTTTTTTTTTTAAAATAAAAATTGTTTGCTAAATTGCTACATTACTTCTCTTCATATAAGTGCAGTAACCAATAAAAAACACGAGATGGCACTAAAAACTGTGGTTTTTAGACTCTGTGGTGACAGACTTCTCTGTGGTAGTCTGGTGGACTTTCATTGCAACGTTTTGTTTACACACATATATCCGTATTTGTCACCTTGCTTGTAGATAATAATCACAAATAACTTTTTCCATTACGTACATTTAAAGACAACATCAATGAAGATGCAAAACAACTTTCAGTTTCATTCAACACATGCACTCTGTCTGCAAAGTGTGAATCACATCAGCGGAAATCAATTCATAAGGCGTAATTATGGATGGTTATTGCGGTCTTAAAAGAACATGTTCTTCTTAAATAAAAATAGGCCTACTTTATTATATTTAGAGTTTCAATATTTCAACCACAAAAGTGTGATTACAAGCGGCTGCGTGTTTTCACGAGGTAAACAAACGCTCGTGAACAGAAATCGCCTTATGTAATCGCAGGAACACTTTTCGTTTGACGGAACGTTCACCTGTCCTAGAACATTTCCCACAGCTATACACATTCCTTTTAAAAATCCCTTGAAAGACATCGTATGAATCACAAACTGCCCATTTCAAACTTGAAAAGAACCCAATAACCGATGTTATAAGTCTTTCATTAGAGGAGGAAGTGTTAAACACATTTTAGGTAAAATATGTGTACATATTTCGATGAATCACACAGACTTCAATCCAAACATTTCCTGACAGTTAGAGGGTTCTGAGCATGCTACACAGGACATCTCAGACATTTGCTCCACCCAAATAGGATATGCTTGCGGAGCCTATGAGGGGCTGAAATATTCAACCTGAATCACAACTTTTTCCCTGATCGGGGGTAAAGTCCTGTGCGTGTCTATGAAATCACATGGCATTTTAAGAATGCTTCAAAGATGGCGGTTTGTGGTAACAGAGTGCAGAAAAGTGCATGTTTGGAAGTGCTAGTACGGGAGCGATGGCACGCGGTGCTGGCGAGTTTAAGCGACGAGTCGCTGACGCTCAGCTGCGAGGATCCCGCGACAGACACCAGCGTTAACCTCAACGGCATCACAACCAACGGCTCCTACGACCAGCCGGACCCCACGAACAGTCCCAAAGCCGGAGTATGGACTCCTTTGACGGACTCACAAGTTCCAGAAGCGATTGCGAACCGTAAAAGATGTGTCAAAGTTATCAAGCAGGAGGTCGGTGGATTAGGGATAAGCATCAAAGGCGGGAAGGAGAACAAGATGCCTATTCTTATTAGTAAGATATTCAAGGGTCTGGCTGCGGATCAGACTCAAGCGCTCTATGTGGGGGACGCGATACTGTCCGTGAACGGGATCAATCTGCGGGACGCCACGCACGACGAGGCGGTACAGGTGCTGAAGAAAGCGGGCAGAGAAGTTATGCTGGAAGGTAAGGACAGGACTGGAGAAAAGCTGGAAACCCTTTCAGTGGGGCTGTTGAGTTTAGGTTTATCAGTCGAGGGACCTGTTAATTGAGAACTGAAGAATTGACATGCACAACACTGTACAAAATGTTTATTGTATTTGCATTATGGTTCTATAAGAAGAACATAAACATATCCATGGAAGATTTAAGGTTATTTTTAGTAGAAAAAGGTTCTTTGGATTGTTCTTCAACTTCTTTAACACTTCAAAAAATCATTCACTAAAAGGGGAACGTAAAATTGTTCTTCTATGGCATTGTAAACCAGGTTAAGCTGGTCTGTGCACAATAGCTCTCCAAAACCAGCTCACATGCTTGGCTGTTAATACAATTCTAAGTTATGAGTAGCTACTGTATACTGTAGACTACTGTTTTTATTTTTAAAACGGTGTGAAAATGAAAAATTATCATCAAATATTCATCTTTGACTTGTCAAAGCACACTTTTCCTTAGTAACTGAAACTTTCAGTTATTATTGTTCAGCTGGCTGACCGTACACATATTCATATGCTAGTTAGCATTTTTAAAGGGAAATTACAATATAACACATGAAAATGTACCTTTTGTTAAAAAAAACTGTGCATCTGCACATGCGCATAACCATTAAGTAGCAAATCTCGATGGGTAGCATGAATCGTCAGAACACCTGATCTGGGCCGACACTATGTTGCTGTCTGGGATCATTGCTGGAGTGATGGATGTGTTTGCTGTGCCCTCCAGTGTTGTATGTTGAGGATGAATGCACCCTTGAGAGTGACAAAGCTATGAAATTCTCTCTGACTGCATCATAAAAGCATAGCACAGATTTCAGAGGGACGTTTATAACTTTCATTCCGGTCATGTTGAGGATTTTAACAATACAGCTGAGGATCATAGGAAATGTGGTTAGATATACGTGAGCAACAGAAGCTATAGCCCACTGAAAATACCTGGTACACGAAATACAGTGGAAAAAGGATGTACCATTTCAAACCATGTGCAAAATATGCAAACTTGTTTAATTTATCCAAATTAAGAGCTAAATTCCTAGCATATTGTAGCCAGGGAAATGCATATCTCTTTAAAAAAAAATTTTTTTGCGCTTTACTGTTATTGAGATCAAAATAAAGGAGATTTTAAGTGCACCAATTCAGGCAAATGTATTGTATTTATCCTGTAAAAGATGCCATTGTAAGAATGCATCCTGTAGTAATGCGTATTCTGTATTTGTGACGTGTAGGCCTACATCTTAAAATCCTGGTCACAGAGTATATTGTTAGTGGCATGATGGGGGAATATGCAAATGCTCTTACACTATCGGTCGTATTAGCTGTTCTCTGCTAGACTGCTACTCAAGACTTTTACCTCATACCAGCACTGTGCTGTATGTTTTTATGATATTCAAGGATTTTTCCTGTACACTGACCTGAGGGTCAGATTAGTCACTTTCTGTAAATCAGTTAAACAGGGCATTCAGCCATGGAGAAGAATGTTTTGATTTCTGCGTTTTCCCTGTTGAATCACCATAAAAGTTTGACAGGCTTGCATGACAGAAAGTAACCCTGCCAGACTTTGGAAATTCAACATTTAAATTGGTTTCTTTCAAGCTGATTTATGCAACTGATACCAAGATTACACATATATTTGGCCAGGCTTGTTCAGTGACTTTGCAGCTCCCCACCTGACGTCTTTGTGACTAAGTGAACACAGATGTGCTGAACTTTTTTTGTCATATCCTCATTCTTCAGAATTGATCTGCCTTCGGCGGTCATGTCAGACTGTGGTTTAGTCACTGATGGGCAGATGTTGGTATCCACGTTTGTAGCAGGATAAAATGGTATTGGAAATTCTATCTATCTATCTATTTTTACTCTCCCTCATATTATTCCAGTATTATATGACTTTGTGTCCTCCATGGAAGTTTAGCAGAGTATTGATTGACGCTACTTTTTCCAACCTGATCTCATGAGAAAATGTAACTATTTTATGAGCATGATCGTATGAATTCATAAATGTACGGTTTTAGAAAAAACTAAGCTTGAAGGTCCACACCTAAACTAACCCTCAGTAGGGCGTGAGCAAATTGTATGGAAATTTACAAATGAGATATTATGAATTTATAAAAATTCGCCAAAGTGTTGTGTTGGCTTTTTCCTCATAGGGTGATAGTGAACAGTGACCAGGGGATGTCAAATCACATCAAGTCGTGTAATGCCGGGTTTGATGTTAATGAAATTAAAGGGATAGTTTACTTGTCATCATTTACTCACCCTCAAGTTGTTCTAAACTTGTATGAGTTTCTTTGTTCTGTAGAACACAAAAGAAGATATTTTGAAGAATTTTGTCAACCAAACAGTTTCTGGTGCCCATTGTACTGCTACATTGTATTCCATAGTACTTTTTTTCATACTATGGAAGTCAATAGGGGCCAGCAATTGTTTTGGTCTTTCAACAAAGAAACTCATACAAGTTTAGAACAACTTGAGGGTGAGTATAAAATAATGATAGAATTTTCATTTTCAGAGTGAACTATCCTTTTAAACTTCATTGGCTCTCATGTGTCTCATAACCAATCCTGATGCACCACATTTGAATATGTGCACTGCATGCATTCAAATAGCATGAATAAGATTTGAGAGCTGGCAAATGCCAGGATTTTCAGTGAATAAATGCAATTTTGTTCTGGTCAAAACACAAATCTCTCATATGACTTCAAAAGACTTGGAATTTAGGTCTCTATTATTGACTTTTTTTTTCTTCTTTTTTTTTTTCAATTTTGGAGCTTGACAACCCTCTAGTCACCATCTAGGTAACATCTTTAGTATTCCATAAAAAAGAACAACAGGAGGGTGCATAAATGATAATTAAATTAATTATATTCCATTAAAGCTTTAACATATCTGATATAAAGACTAATCTTAAATTAAAAACAGGTTTAACACCTTTTTTTTGAAAAGCAGAAAAGGAGAATTTGGTTCCTGTGGAGCACTCATGTTATCATCAGTACACTTTAAAAAAATGATGAAACATTTCACTATAGTTAGATTCATTGCAAATCTTCAAACAGAAATTCTGATTTAAAACAAATCTTCCAACTAGTTTTACCATATTCGTAGGTCAATTAAGTACAGTAGTTTAGAAAAATGCAAGACGATTTCAGTGAACAGAGCATCCAATATATCAACCAGTTGTCCATAAAGCTCACTATTTGCACAAGCGAGTGAGTTTTGCATGTCAAATCAAGGCCCATGATTCCTTTGTCCTCATGTCCTTGGGATTTGGCTTCTTTGAATAATTAAATTTGATGTTTCTTGCCAGAAATATTTGCACATCCTTTTACTCTTACAGATTTACTACACCAAACTTGTATTTTACTTTGTCACCACTCTATCAATCAACACCGTAGTCTTTTAACATATTCCCTGATGCCCTTCCAGATTCTTTGTCTATATTCTTGAGAAACACATTTGTCATTGGGGACAAGTCAATGTCTTTGGCAAAATTACAGAGCTAGTCATATTGAAGTCAAGGTCTCTGGGTGATACAAAAAAATAAGTAAAGTCTCAAGGCATTTGACAAGTTGATAGCTACCTGTCTGCACAAAAAAAGCCCAATTCTCTAGTTATGACTCAAGTAAAATGACTTTTTTGTCTTTTTTGAATCACTATGCATCCACATTTCATGCCTCAAATTCGCAATCTGCCAATTGAAGTAAAAAATGGCCTTTTTCTTCCTCTTTGAACATAGAATCAAATGTTTTAAAACCTAGATAGACATAGCGCACAAAAGCTGTCCTCGTGTAAATGTGTGTTCAGACGAGTGTTCTACAACAAAACATTGTACTCAGAGGTGGAAGTAACGAATTACAACTACTCACGTTACTGTAATTAAGTCGTTTTTTCGTGTACTTGTACTTTTATGAGTATATTTTTAAGTCTGTAATTTTCCTTGTACTTAAGTACAAATTAAGTTAAGTAATGTACTTCGCTACTTTAAAAATCACATTCGTTACTAAGTACTTGTACAATTTGAATTAAATTAATTTTCAAATCTTTGACCAGCATTTCGGTATCCAATAGAAATAACTGATCGTGGGCGGGCCAATAAAAACCCTTGTATTTGGACCGGGAAAAAAGCCCGGTTTCTGGAGAGCTATTCGTCCTCGCACGTCCTTGACTGTGAAGGTGTATTTTAGTGTTATCAAAGAACTTTGGCGTTATGGACATGGAGATTCGAGACGCTGAATTCATTGAAAATTCCGAAGAAATACCGGATGACGAGTGCCCTTGGGCGCACAAATGCAATGCAAACTTTGTTTGCCATCTGCAGTGATTTCGGGTTACAAGACTTCAGCCTCTAATCTCAAAAAACACATTATGGTACGAAGACTTATAACTATATTTATGTGATAGTTGTTTTCGTTTTTAATGTTGGGTAGATCTCACGATAATTTGACTAAAAACATCACTTGAAACATGAGCTTCAGCGTTACCAGGTGACGAGCACATAGAGCGTAAAAAAATATTTAGCATTGTAAAGTGGCTTTATGTCATTGTCAACAAATTGTTTTATTCATATTGAATCTGTGTTTTAAGCTTATAATAAACGGTAGGCTATAATAATGACTCTTTCATAAAAACAGTCTCTTGCCGCGACCCACTGGCGTAACAGTGTAACTGCACTGTTTGACAGCCTGTCTAGATTGCGCATGTGTCAGTGCTAAATGCTGATAACTTTTGAAATATTAGTAGGGTACTTTTGGAAAGCTTTCTTGTCCAGTCAGATTTTTTTAAATGTAAAAAAACAAAAAAGAAAATTTTATAAATAAAATAACCCAACAAGCTCATTTATGTTGCATTATAATTCATTAATAATAATATTAGACCATTTTTATAACTTGATTCCCATAAAAATTATATGAAGAAATAATATGAAATAATATATAATTTCCTTTATATACTTCCTCTGTTATATTTTCAGTTGTTGGT